TTTTCTTCCCGTCGAGTAATCCCTTAATGCCACTTTGTGTCCTACGGAGCGTTCCAAAATACGAGCCACGATTTGCCTGCCGGGATAAACGCGGACACTGTTCAACCGTCTCGAATATCGGCGATTCCAGCCACTTTTATAAATGGCCGGCGATTAATTGATACGACAATGATTAAACTTTACGGTGAAATCAACGGTACGCGGTTTTGTAATGGTGGAATATTTACAGAAAGCTAACTAAACGGGAATGTTTTGAGAACGGATCGCCGAATAACGTGTTCGAAATTTTTCAGCGGAAATGGCCGGCCAACGGAATATCTTGCCGGCTGGCCGCTCGTATGAAACTCCTATTAAATTTGTATCATCCGTTCCGCGGGGCTTTATTTCAGCGGGAATAAAAATGGTTGTAATTTCTGCTGGTAACAAGGCGGAATGCTCGATACGTAACGATACGTAACTATATAGCATCGGCCGAAATCCGTGGCGGTACATCGATCGTTAATCGACAGCTGAAACCCGTTCCCATCGTGAATTTATCATCATCGATGCTCGGAGTAATGTTTCCGTCCATGTTATTAATAACCGGCTAGCTGTTCCGCGAGTGGCCGGCTGCGGAAAGAAAAAGAGGGGAAAAAGGGATGACGAGTTAAGCGGTTGGAAAATCGCGGTGGAAAGCTTTCTAGATGGGCTTCGAGTTGAAATTATCTAAGGGACTCTCCTTGGCCGGCCCAAGAACGGCAAACGACGTTACCATTATCGCTGCTCTTTCCAAGAAAGAAACGGAGGATGCGAAAGAAAGTGGGCGGGACAGCGAGTACGCTTAAAATTTTCCTGCGAATTATCCGACATCTCTTATCTCGGGTATAAAGATGTTTTTACGAACCTTTCCGCCATGGACAATGGCGAAATGAGAATATCAAAAAATCCGCCAGTAGCTCATCGCGTAAACGTGACGTAATTTGCGAAAAAAAGAGGGAAAGAAAACGGGGGAAAAGAAATGGGAGAAATAAAATACATTAGGAGCAACGGTTCGTTTCAAAGGGGGTTGTTTCCTGAATTTTAATTCCCGCCGTTTACCATTAATATTCGTAACGCGATTACGACCGACTTCGCCGGCATTTATTTTATTTATCTCCCAAAAGCGGGACGCAAACGACGAAAAACGGAAGAGGGGATGAAGGACGATAAAAATAACGAAAGGGAGAAAGAGAAGAGCGGAAAGAGGGCAAAAAGGGAGTCGCGGTTCGTCACTTTGTAACGGACCACGCTGGATATTTAAAAAAATTCAATTTTCCGCAATAAGAACAAGTTATGCGGCGTATCAGAGACCGGTCGTTATGGAAAGTATATTCATTTTCCACGCGGAAACTCCCCTTTCCGGGTTATAATAAAAACATGCACGTAAGGGCACGTGCGCGCACGTTTATTAAAATTCAAACGTGCAATAACAAAGTAACTTAATCGAATAAAAGACCACGTATAAATCTCGACCGATTAAACCAACAACTTTACACACAGAATATCACACAAGGATATAAAAAACATGTAAAAACGAAAGAAGGTAAGAATCTACTGGGTGATTCGAAAGTGTGCTCCAAAATTTGGAAAAATTCGGAATGCATCCGTCGATGAAAAAAGGGAAAGCCAATATATCGTTTTCACTCTTAGGGACATCGAGGGTTCCGAGTCAACGGGGGCCTAGTTAACTTTTGGGCTAGGCCCTGGATGAAATAATTGTTAATAATGCGGGCCAGAGTTTTTCGAAGGCACCGAGTCCTCTGTACCAGCCCCCCTCGCCTAATAAAACTTGTATTAACAAGAAATAGCGCTTTCATTCTGTAATACCCACGCCACCCCTTCAAAATTTTCTAGTACTCGCGAAACTGCGATGACCGAATGCCTGTTACCGGTACTTGTTACCGCCATTTTTCCCCGAAACCTCGACGTGCTCGTCGTCACAGGCTACCCAACGTCCCCCATTTTACATCGTCACAGTCGCCCCCAACTATCTGCTCGACCATCCGAAATCTATCGCTATTTTACCTCAAACGTGTTCATTTACAGCCCCCTTCGTCGAACAGCCCCGACCTTAATGCCGATTGATCACCACTTCTTGTTCGCCACGTCACGCTTCCTCTGTCGGACGCAAACTTCGAAAAGTTCAAGGTACATAGATCCCGTAGACCGTGAGGCAAGAGAGATAGTTGAACGCGGTATAACTCAGGAACAATTTCCACCAGGCGACAACCAAGCTGAACTCCACTTTTCGATTCGACCCTCGTACGGACCGTTCATTAGACCCTTCGTACACGTTTCAGGGGGGTCTCGGGTTACGTAAAACGTGGAAACTCTTTCTACGAGCTACTTACAAGGCTGACCATAAAAAAGGAAGGAAGGGCAACGTTGTTTAACCAGAAGACTATCAGAAGATGCCGCGACAATCACAAAGCACGAAGCTAACGCGAACACCATCCTCGAGGGATAAAATTCTGATCGTCCAAGGGGGTTGGAGGCGCGTCAGCGAGCACCAGGTATGGGAAGCTTCGGGGTGGAAAAATGTGGAATGTGATTCGGAAGCATTCGGGATAGACGGTTATGTTAGATAATCATTAGATAAGAAGAAACTCCATTTCCTTATTCCCTTATTTTCGTTTATATAAAAGTAATATAACCCTCTCGCTCCTAACATCTTTTATTTCCAGACATCTTTACGGCTTGAGGTCAGCCAGTTATGGTGCTCCAGCCCTTATGAAGAAATCGTCGTTGCAGAAATTTTTATACCCTCGGTAACAGCCTTCTTCTATCACCGTCTCGAGTGTACTTTCGCGTCGTATATAAAGGAACAATAAAAACTGTCTGTAAAGAGGGGCAGGGGGTCCGCCGTTGGACGAATTTCACCCCCTTCTATCCCTCCTTTTTTTATTTTTTCATTTTTTCCCCCGTTTTCGAATATCGGCGGGAATCGAACGATACGATGATCGATCGTTAATCGAATCGCGTGCAGCTGACAAATATAAATAAACTCTCGAACAATGATCGTAGATTACAATGCCACTCACGATGAATGGCAAATATGCTCGCGCTGAAACGATTATTGGCAACGGGAAAATTTACACGGACAAACCGTTAGTTTCAAGTGGATGAACATCGCCAGTCAAAATGACGCCGCTGTTCCCAGCTACACGTCCAGTTATAAGCGAGCTACACGACCTGGAACTAACGCGGCCGCAAATTTGTATAAGTTGCATCGATTCGCGTTTAGGAATCGCAGATATAATTAATAATAAACACGAAAGCGTTCCATGCCGATTTCCCACCCCTTTCTCTCCCTTGCTCTGCTTCCCTCGCGAGTTCCCGGCGAACACGCGAGTACAAGAGACCTCGAAGACTGCGCTTCGCGGGCTCTTGTACCAGCGCGAGTTAGACACCACTGATCTATCCCGACACGAGCCCTCGACGGGAACCAGGACTGCGGAATAACAGCCCTCGAGTACGCCCCTCGCGAATAAACGCGTAGACGAGGTCCAGTGGAAACAGCGGAAGATCGCGAGTGACGAAGAACTTTCGTATCTGAAATAATTAGAGCAACGTTCCGCGCAGTCCCTAACCGGAAGCACGAAGTTTCAGCGTTACCTTTGACCCGGCCAGGAATCGTTCGTTAGTCAAGGTTGCACGTGGTCGGGGAACTTGCAGAAATTACAATGACTTTTATGGCTTGCTGCCGACCAAAATTTCGCGCATCAATTCCGAACGTTTCCGGGCGTGTTTCGCTAACACCCACGAAGCATAGTTTCGCCAGTGCGAAAGAGACGGGGCCGCAATTCTGCGGAGACTGTAAAGAGCCCGGCGGTGGAGCACGATAGGGGGAATTATACCGTGGCTCGTGTCATAAAAGGGATTGCAAACAGTGTGGAGAGATGTTTTGGAAGATCGTAACGATAACGGTGTACCGTCGCGTAACGTAGTGCTTATTGTTGCGAAATAGTTGAATCGCTATTGGACGAAGGTAATTTCGCGCATCGCGTCCGAGGAAAGAAACGTAATAAATTTAATGGACCAAGGCATGGCTCTGTTTCGCTCGTGTCTGTAATTCAATGAACGAATCGCGTGTGGGGAATCGAGTATCGATCACGTTGTGTCGTATCGATAGAAACGAGGGAAGAGGCCAGCTTAGCTCGGCTTCTTGCCTACACGAGCAAAACAAACAGATTTCCAGGAACCGAGTCTCTTCCAAGAAATCCTTCAACATCGTGTATACATTCCTCTGGTAGTCTTTGATTAGGAACTGCGTGACGTCCCTTATCCTTGACGCTCGTGTCATGGTAAACATTCACCGAAGACCGTTCCGAGGCGTGGGAACTGGCTAGCGACGAACGTCGAAGCACACGCGTTGGAACGTGACTTGGATCGATCAATGTGTTTTCGAAAGACCGGAAATTCTTGGAACCGTCCGCGTGTTTCCCCCAAAGGACATCGGACGACGCGGTAATTATCCCCACCGGCGGAATAAGACGAAGACGTAATACGCGTAAGATACAAGGACTGGACGACGGAAGAAAATCCATGGTACGCGATCCATTCATTCCTAACGTGTCGCTGCGGATAAGCCACGGCGCGTCCTTGGTTACATCTCGAGAATCGGGTATCGATTGCTTCCCTCGCACGCCGATAAAAAACGAGGGAAAAGAAAAGAAAACAGACAGGTGCTCGTGCACCCCGTTCCGAGCAAGGCAAACATGTTGCCTCCAACTTTCAATCCCCTTTCCGTACCATGGCAAACCTTGTACGACGATTCGCTTTACCTCCACGATGAAACGCGACGTTGTCAAAACAGCGACCCCATTCAATCTCCGATTCACCCCTGACCACGACGTATCTACCACCTATTCCCGTCCTCCGAACGCATCGCGCTACCCCGTGTTACTCCTAACACGGCTGTCCAAGTGACGCAGAAAATATCGAACGCTCGAAGAAGCTAAAAAAATTATTGCTCGACTCACCGACTCGCAGAGCTGGATGGAGAAGGAGGGTCGAAGGACGTCGTCGTCACCTCCAACGACGCGGTTGACGGCTGCAGGTCGATGCACCACTAGTCAGGGATCAGCTGATCGATGAATGACAATCCGATGATTCTACACTCGCTACGGCGAACAGACGGTTCACCACCGAACACGAAACCCTCACCGGACGAAGGTGCGCGAACGACTGACTGCCGCGGCCGTCACGGTGGGGTGTAGCTGTGCGCTGATTCTCCACGGCGTCCCCCCCTCTCGCACTCTCAACCCTGTTCTCGATCCCTCCTTGTCGCGCCACTCTACGCCAAGCTCTTTCCTTCCCTCCTTGTCTTCTTTCCATCCCTTCTGCACCTCTCTCTCACCCTCTCCCTCTCTCACTCTTCCTTCCTCGTGGTAGCTACCCTATCGGTCTTTCTCTGTTTTCCTTCACCCTTTGCACCCTTTCGTCTTCATCCTTCCTCTCGTTCATCGTGTCGCCGTCTTCTCGTCTTCTTCTCGTCTTCTCATCGTCTTCACACCATCTTCTCACCGTCTTTCGTTTCTCCGTTACTTGCCGTTTCTACCGGTGACCTCTTTCTCCTTCCTACGTGTATCTCCCATCAACTGCGTTCGTTCATTTACTTTTCCGCGTATTTTTCTACTCCCCCTTTTCCCGCCCGAATCTCCTTTGACTACCGCGACTTTTACGCACCCCGTTTTTGTTCCGCTTAATGGATCCCATTTAGCCCGGAGTATATATTCGGTATTAGATCTTCGATGAAGGTTTCTTCCTCGAAAAAGCAATTTCACCTTCCGACCCTTCGTACTTGATATTTTCTTATCCACCGCTGCGTTATACTCTCCTCCGGTATTTTTTCTGCGTTACCACCCCATTCTCCACCTTCCTTCCGTCCTGTCACCCCGCTGCAATCTCTTCTATTTCTATCCTTCTTTCAGTCCTCCTCCATTCGACCAAATGCCACCATTCTCTCACCGCGCGGGATCGTCTCTCTCTCTGCTCTCCTTAAGCCACCCCACGCCTTTGTTTCCCCGGCACATTCCCCGTCCCCCTTCCACTCTTTATCCCCGATACAACTCTTCACCAGCCCCCTCCCGCTCCCCTGCCAACCGGCTCTCCGTCACCTTCCATCGACTCTCGCTGTGTTCGACTCGAACAAAGACGCAAATGCCAACCCGTTCGTCGACCAAGTTCGACCGTGGTGAACGAAACGAAGACGGAAAAACAGGAAAGAAGACGCCGGGGCGAGTATAATCGAGCCACAGACTCGGAGAGGGGAAGGAAACGGGGGACAAGAAGGGGTAAACGAGGGAGCGGGGTGCAAACAAGCCGCGAGTGGAAGCAAGACCGAAGGTCTGCCCGAGGGTGGAACACCGGCGATTTATTGGATCCTAGAGACCAGCGATCACCTATATGCCCGGAGAGAAGTTCGGTCGAATTCGAGACGAGATACTTTGGTCTTTGGCTGGCTTGGTAAAAAGGGGCGGACGAAAAAAGAGTCGGAAGCGCGGGCCCTACGGTGAAAGGAAAAAGCACAATGAAAGATCAACTCCTTCGGTTTGTCGAGGTTCATTCGAACCTGGTTTCCAGGGATCGATGTCATCCTTGAATCGCTCGGCGAGCAACCGTCGGAAAGAACCCCCTTTGAAGATCTTCCAATCGTACCGACTTCGATAAACACGTTGAACCTTCCGAAGCAACACGGAATTTTCCTCACGATTTCCCCGGTGTTCCCGGTGTGTTCGATGTACATAGCGCGATCGAACGGACGCGAAACACGAAAGTAAAACTCGAAAGTAAAACTAACGCGCGGATCTCGCCATAATCGAGGGCCTTCCGCGACCCCATGAGCGCGTCGTTGGGTCAAGCACCGGGTCACCTGAAATCGACGGTCTCCTCGTGATTCGGGAAGCTGCTCGTTACACCTTGAACGTCAGCTAGCCACCTAGTCAGCCTGTTCTACGCAGCCACCACCCGCGGTAGCTTTCAATTTGCCCGGAAAATAATTTACACTTTCCGGCAGACCGGCTCCACGGGGAAATTTATCGCGAATATGCATGCGCCATTTATGAATATGAATATGGGCCAGATTATTATGCGTCGCGGCGGAAGAAAGTTCGCGATGGGCCTCGCCGTGTGCCGAATGGAAAACCGGTTGCTGCCATCGTCGATGGAGAAGTGTCCCGGAGCCACACTCGACGACACTTTCCTCCGTATCCTCGAGACGCGTGTACCTCCAACTTTCCCTGAAAGTGCGTTGAACCGTCGTATCTCTGTCCCCGGCGTATCTCTTCTCAGATCGATCCCTTGGTCCCTCGAGATACACCCTGCGGTGCTCCAGCACCGGGGCGAAACAGCGCCGCGACACACTCGGAAAGCTCGGTCTTCTACACGTATGAAGATCACGTACATTGTAACGAAGCTGCGAGCGTCTCTCTGCATCGAATGCCATAACTTCGGTGGCCAGTCGTGACAGGCGCGTTAGCAATGATTTAGCGTGCACAACCAGGGAAGCACGGTCGACCACCGTGACGCGCACCGGAAGGAATATCCAGTCGGAATATCCGGCGAACTTGGATATACTGGACGGACTTGGATAACCCGGTGGAGGGTCTGGCGTAGTTTCTACGTCGATTGGACGGGGAACGTGTGACGGGGATGCTCGACGGCTGGCAATCTTGCCGGAGGTCCGTTTAATAAACGAAATAAAGCGCGATCGTGCGCCGAAGACGCTGCCGGAGATGGAATACTTTAATTTCTGGGTCACTCGCAGCTGGGACGTCGCCTGTGATTTAGTACGCGCCACGGAAAATGGGAATTGCCATGGCGGTGGAGAGCTTTCGAATACGAATTGTTGGATAAACATCGCGGCAAATCTGCCATTGCGTCCAACATCCCGTTATTTCCGAAGGTCGTTGCCGTCGGAACTTCGCGCAGGAGACTGTCGTTGACCTAGACTACTCGTTCCTCCGCCCAGGGTCGGGGATCTTCCGCTATTTTTCAGTCTCCCGACTGTAGGAACCGGTGTGATAGTCGCGTGTATACGTGTTTCCTTAACTTCCCGAAGTTCGCCTCACGCGCGTTTCAATTCCAATTGCAACATGTTCCGCTAACTTGATTTTCCCGTGAATTCGTCTCGCTATTGGGGCAAGCTTGAACACAGGGCAACCGAAACGCGACTGTGGGCTACACGGTGACGCGTAACTCGATGGTTGTTCGACTGCGAAATTTATTAATCGCCGCTCGATCTAATTTCGACGCGAAACTGGTCGAATTCGTGATTCCATTCCCGGTTCGACGGGTTTGAACTGAACGATCGTTATTTCGCGGCGGTTGATCGACGTCTGTCGCGATGAAATTCCGTAACGTTTCGCGCCAAAGAGATTTCTTTCTTCGCGCAGAATACGCGAAAGATTACGGCGTTTGAAACGGGCAAAGAAATAAAGGCGTGGCCACGAAACGTACATATTTGTCCGTGAGATTTGGGCTGAATAATTGCTCGTGGAATAAAAAAAAAGTGGATCAGTGGAGGAGAAAGGATGGGCCAAGTACTTTCAAAAATAGAGCGGTCCACTATCTTGGCCACTCATCTCGCCGGTTTCGTGTCACTGTCCTCGTAATTTATTCATCGTACACCCGTCCATCGTCTTGCTCCGGTCCATTCTGTGACGTCACGTTGACCCTTAAACCTCTGACGACCGACGGTGCCTCGGTCGATTCGAGATTCGCAATTTCCTTTCTGGCGCGACTAGGGAATTCGCTGGAGAATTTAATACGAACCGATATCAAAGTCTCAACGGTACACTTACGTATCCCTGGGAGAAGAAAGGGTCGAGCGTGTCGTTATCTAAAGCGATTCATGGAAATGAAAAATTTTGCGAAACAGCACAGTTTCGTGGAATCCTCCGCGCGACGCGCACCCTCCCCGTTTCTCTTTGTCCCCGCATCTCGCGTCTCGTTTCCAATCGAATCAATTCGTCTCTGTGGACTCTCCGGCATTCATCCCGTGTCCTATGACGTACACCACTTTGGAATTTAAACGTCACTCCTACGTATCGATGGCGTCCGCGTCGGACCGATGCTAAGCAACGTGTATTCCCGCGACGCTGCGAATTCTCTTAATTCGATTCCGATTCCAACTCCGCGCATCTAATTCCATGTCGGAGGTCGAATCCTCCATTTATACCCCTGTCGTGCCTCTGTCCCCGCGAGAGACAGAGGAGCGTCTAAATGCGTACACATAAGGAGCAATTAGGGAGTACGTACTGTAAAAAAGATAGTTCTACGCGCAGTTATTCTTGATCTCTTCGAATTTTTCCTAAATATCCGTACGTCCACGAAGAGTGACGTGTAAATAATTTTCTGCACCTCGGAGACTGCGCGATTCATGGTTATAGCTTGACGCCTTTGAAATCGACATGTTGACCAAAATGATACACCATGCAGATGCAACGATGGTGTTTTCGTCCGATCGCCTCGTTGCCGGATACGTGGCGAACGTACCAATCAACGACGCAGAACGTGCTCATCCGGTGACATTAATTTGTCCGCAATTAGAGGGAAATTTCAGGGCAAAGGGGGCTCTCGTTGCGTCGCGGCTCGAAACGAAACGACGGTCGAACGCGAAAGCACGGGGACACAATGGGTCGTAATGAAACGGTGCTCGTGCTGTAACCAATCGGCGAAGGGTCGACGGGGGTAAAAACGGGGAAAAAAATATTTTCGCTGCCTCAGTGCTGGCAAGTATCGTTGCCAAGTCTGCCACGACACGATGGCTCTACTCGAGCCTTCGGACTCGTTAACCGGGATCCAGAGTAATATTGATTACCGTTGCTGCTTTGCGTTTCGCTTCTGATGACACGTTTTTCAATAGCCGTGACGAATGTACGTTTTCGACGGTGTCCGTTAGAGATGGATCGCGTAGCTTCGGCATCGGGGCAATATTGCACGATTCCAGGAAGTTAGATTTATGGCCACGTGCACGGAAGGTTTTCGGAAAACTTTTTTACATTTTTTCCCACGCAGAGGAAACGTTGAACGCGATATGGCCGAAATGAAAAATTCCGCACCACGGGGGTGCCTAAATTCGGGGGTGGCATAGAACTTTTCGACGGACCCGGACAAGGTCCTGGGTCTGGTTCGGACTAACGGTCGAAATATTTCTGTTCGTTTAATTTAA